GACATTTCCGGTGACAGCTGGTAACCCTTATGCGTGCCCTTATTTGAAATCAACGTATAGTGTCTGAACATTTAAAACACGGACCTGGCCTGCTTTTCTTACAGGAAGTATGTTGCACAAAATATATTAATTTATTCCAAAATATTCACTCTCTTTATTAATAAATATGCCTCTGCATTGTCATTATAACGTGACTGAATTAAGTTTGAGACTTTGTGTGTTGCAACTGTACAGGGTTCAGAGCCAAGAGCAAACATGGAAATCAGAGTTTGGGAAGCAAAACTAAATAAAAAAATACAAAATTAGTCAAGAACATAACAACAGTGTGATATTTTGTTGAGGCAGAATGAAAGTGGCATTTCTTTATGATAATTAGTTTGTAGTTTTTGTTAATTTAAATAATAATTTGAATTTGGTTTAAATGGTGAATTAGATTTTTCATATTTTTTGTAAGTGACACTGAACTATTTTGTATTTTATGATATTATTGTTAAAAGTTTTTTTTTTTGGTAATTTAAATAATAATAATTCAACTGTATTGGGTATAAGTATATTTATGAATATATTCCCTTTGTGCTGTTTTTACACTTAACCAGGTGACTGTGTCATGTGACAAATTGATTGTTTAAATGGTCTCTTGTTAGCCACAACACATAGGTGTATTTGTGAGTTGTTTTTAATATAAAGCCAAGTGAGAATAAAGGCTTTTTAATTTTCACTTTGCTTTCAAGTGCCTTGGAGGTAAATGTTTTTTGATGAAGAAAAAATTAGGAAATTAACAATTAAGAAATCCCGCATCCAAAGAGCACCGATTTATGGACTGTATACCCCAGTAGCATTTTTGCATATTTTTGATTTGAGAATTAAAATACATTTTGTCTTTGGTCCAGCTGTTGCAGGAGGACATCGTTATGTTTAAGATTCTCAGCTGCACACACACACACACACACACACACACACACACACACATACACACACACACACACACACGTTTCCCAGAGGTTTTATTTCCTAGAGCTTCCTTTTCTGCTCAACCCACCACACATGAACAGCCTGAGAGAATGAGAGAACACAAGGGCCAGTTATTCTCCTCCCTGGAACCAACATTGCCATAGAGACTCGCGCTGTTTGTATTGCTCAACCTTGTTTTCAACTTTGCGTCTTTCCAAAGCCTTCAAAGGGGCTATTTTAAATGCTTAGCAAGGGGACACCTTTTATGCATCATGTCATCGTGATATATGTGTGTTTTCCGTCCATCCTTTTCACAGGCTCGGTTACACAATGAAAGGAGGGTAAGTCCAAATTGTAATTGTCCCTAATTACATCTGATTGGGGGGCAGAACTTTACGGCTGAGGATGTCCATTTCTCTGACTCTTTATTCCAAAGTAGCCCAGCAGTAGTCAGGCAGGGGCCAGACTCTTTTAGAAGAGATCACAGGGTCAGTCACAACTGATTATTATCGAAGTCACATAACCCTAAACCTAAATATGTCAGAGTTAGGAAATAACTTATTAATCAGTCATACAGACCTCAAATGTAATAACTGGCACACTTCAAGTGATTTCTCATAATATCTTGACTGTAGCTGTAGTGTATACAACTAAATAAGAAAAAAAGGTATTGAACAATACAGCAACAATGAACGCACAACTACCTGTACTATCAACATGGATGCTCTGCAGATTTCCACAGAATTAGAACTGATCATAACAAACTTTTACACATCCACTGCCCTGATGTGTTTACTGTATGTGTTACATATATTGGCTAATTTGATTTTCTCAGTGCCATTGAACACGTTACAATGTTTTGATCCATACGGCAGATTCCTCTCGCGCTGCAAAAATTCCTTAACATATTCCTTGTGAGTAATACATGTGTACTATAAAGATTTAATTCTTTTGGATTATGCAATTTTTCAAAAAATCTGATTCCCCAGAACCACACAGGTCATTTCCTTCACCTCATAGTGCTGTTTCCAGGACCAGACAGCTAGGATCTGAATAAGACACTGTTATCATCTCTGCTGGGAAGCACAAGCGCTGCTTGGAAAGTACAAGTACACAGCGCCTCCTGGAGGACGACGAGATGTGACACTTCTTCTCCAGGGTCTGACAAATCCATTTCATTTGAGTTGTTTATCTGTGATTTATAACTGGACCACACATATTCAGTAAGAACCTATTACTGCCTATAGGATAAGAAAGGCTGTTTGTTGCTGACGTGTGTTTTGAGTTTGAGCTCCGTCAAGTAAATGATTTATCGTCTATTTTTTAATCTTAAAATCAGTTTTATACACCATCATTTTCGTTTCTATCTCTGGAATAGCCTTCCTGATAACGTTCGGGGTTCAGACACACTCTCTCTGTTTAAATCTAGATTAAGGACACATCTCTTTGGCCAAGCATTCAAATAATGCATCTCATAATCTTGGAACAGCAGCTACGCTAATTATGTCTCTATTTGTTTCTCTGTTTTTGCCACTAGGATTTACACAAGCTTCAGTCTGGATCCAGAACACCTGAGAAGAGATGATGCCAACCCCTCAGAGGACCTCAGATGATGCAACCCTGAAACAACAGACAGAACTACCAAATTAAGGTAATTATAAGTTTGATTGCATCATATAATAATTGCTGTTAATAGTGTTCATCGTCTGTTTGATTACGTCTTTAATTTTTTTTTCCGTACATTTCTGCCATATGTACATTGACTGACAGTCATACAATATTTATACAATATTGTGCTTTTGCAAATAACTGTTGCAATTCAGTTACAGTAGCAGTGTCTTTAATTTCATTAGTCCCTCATTTAGCAATTCAATTAAAAGAAAATTATTTCCTTATATGTTTTTCATTTTACACCCACTAGGTCAAGGGTGACTGTGGCCAGGAGCAAAAATGCTTCATTAAATGTTAGTGTGGTAGAGAGAGAAACTGAGAAAACAGTCCCTGCTGGCAAGGCTAACTACACTGTTAACACTGTGTCTGTGCTAGTTAGCTAGTTAAATCAACTGTATGTAAATCATTCTGCTGGTACACATGCTTATAATCAGGCGAATGGCTACTGTTTCTCTCACAAACTCTGTTTTGGGTTTGTGTGACTTTGGTGAGCGGGTATGAAATCCCGTGAAAAGCTGTTTTACAGCAGCAACAAATGCACATGTACAGCTACTGTATTACTGTATTACGACAGCGGATTCCACTCACTTAACTGTAGGGGGCTCCAAAGTCACAAAACTACATACAGTTGCTTTAATTACAGTTGCTTTAACCAAAGCAGGTAGTTTCTACACCACATATATAACTATATGTACAATATGTATTTCAAATTAATAGCTTTAAATGCTATAATTATTGTACTGCATATGTGAACAAGGGAATGTGAATGAAAAAATAAAAACAAACAAAACAAAACAAAATAAAATAAAAACAAGCTACACGTTTTGCAATATAAGTGTTAAAGGGATAGTGGTCAAATATGGACTAACCCAACTTTTGTGTTAAATATTTAATGTAAAAATTGAACCCAATGGTTGGGTTAGTCCATATTTGACCCAAAGTTGGGTTGAAACAACCCAGCATTTTTTAGAGTGTAATTATAACAGTAAAGGCAAACAATTAAAACATTACAATTTGTATATAAAGTAAATAAAGGATAATTCATTAAATAAATAAAATACAAAATAAATAAACATTAAATTAAATAGTTCTTATAGCACTCTTTTATTATTATTTATGTGTTTTTAAGTGTCATTAATGAAAATACTAAATCAACTATTCAATTTAAAATTGTGTTTGGATAGAATAATTGAATAACCAATGACAGACAAAGCAGAATTCCTTCTATTCTGAAATGTAAAGCTAATATCATGGAAATATTAAATAATTACCCCAGAAATTACAGGCCACTGTAACATGCCACTTGCGACCTTCTGTGCCAATTCTCGTGGTCTAATTTTATCTTTTCACTTTCACTTTAAGAATATATGTATTTGTCAACTGGTGCATCTTTGGTGGCCTCTCTCTATGCAGCGTCCTGCTTCATTCAAGTTAAAATGACAACTGACCCTTAATTGAGGGGTGTATAGTGAGTAGGTCACTCTTTTCCATGCTACTCAGAACACTAGGGGAGCTGAGAGTTCCCGCCATCCAAGCAATTCTTCCTGTTGAGAGACCAAGCAAGTGAGTGTGGAAAAAATAAATAAATAAAAAAAAGAAATGAATGAATAAAGTGAAAACATTCCATGAGACTCATTAGGCTGCATGGAGAAAGCCTTTGTAGCAGTTGCCGCTTGAGGCTAGTTGCTCTTGAGATCTACCAGACTATGTCACAGCAGAGAAACAGAGGCCTTGTCACACAAAACACAAAATTCAGTACAATAACTAGCAATTTAAGCCAAAGTTCAAAGTTTGAGTGCAATTCTAAACCCAACAGAAGAAAACTGCCACACTATTTGTATGAAAACACTAACACAGAGAGTTAATATTCAAAATGACAGCAGTACAACTAATGTGCCAAAGACCCCTTACTGATTCTTTCATGGGTGATTACATGAGTGCTGATAATCTACAAGTCACTTGAATCGAAACCTTCATTTAGATGTCAAGTTAAGCAGTGGGTAATAGAATAATGCTGTAGAGGTGGAACTGAGAATAATGAGTCAAAGATCTCACTTACATCCTGAGACAAATATAAAGATTAAAACAAACCATAATGAAATGAAATAATGATACTTATGCAACCAATAAATTATATTACTGTAACTTATATCATGAAATCAAGATTCAATGCAACAATGACAGAAAACAGCAATAAATAATTAAACAACCAATACCACTACTCCCATAGAAATATTACAACCAACTGCCCAGCAAAAATAGCAGGAAATAAATAAATGTTACTTGTTTACAAACATACAGTTGGTATAAACGGTAAGCAGTGTGGTGTTTTGAGGAGGTGTGAGCTCTAGAGGAACTGCTGGTGGACACATGGCTCTTGTCCAGTGAGAGGCGGTGGAGATCAGATCTGAGCTCTGATCACAGCAGTAGTGAGCTGCTCACTGCCACAGTCACAGCACTGTGACATCCATCAGGGATTTGCACCTTTCTTCTTTTGTCTTTTTTCTATCAAACGGGTTCAGACTGAAGCATCCCCTAAAGCAGGTGGTTACTGGGTGATCTGAGGAGGTTCACTGCACCCCTATACCGGTAAGTGAGGATCGGCTCAGTCACTAAGAGCGGAGTGGGTGCTCATGAGTGAGGGATGAAACGATGTAAGTCGACACACTTTGTTTAGCTGAATGCGCACAATTATTTTTGGTTGATACTGTACTGCTGCTGAATAGTGTTGTTCTTATTCAAACCAGTAACTCTCCGCGTTCAATAGCCAAAACACAGAACGTAACGCTCCCGCTAGACGCGACGCAAGACACTGGAACGCTTGTATTATAATCGAGACGTGATGCGACAAACCGGAACGCTTTAATTACAATCGCATTTCAATTAGCCTACATTTATCGAGTCATTTAGAATGAGTTAAGCAGCTGTTCGCACAGAACGCGCTGTTGCACCCATAACGAGATGTAGCGCAGCAGAATGGATCAGGACGCGTGGGTCTCCAGACGAGCTTTCAAACTTTAAGTTATTGTAATTTGACACTGCGTCTTGAATCGAGTAAATGCGTCGCAATGACAGAAGAGAACACTGAACGATGCTACGACATGTGTGGCATCGCGTCTTGTACCCTGTGTTCTGTTCCATATGGCGCTCCATCTAGTCGTGTTCCAAACGGCCCTAACGCATCTATGCCCGACATTTGCCATAAAAAGCTCCCACTTCCAGTGCTGACACGTGCTTCAGCTACAGGTGTAATCCTTATGTTTCAGGCTGTAGGACGTCATGACAGCCGAAAAGACGATTCCCATAATAAATGGAAAAGCGGACGATTCGATGGACCCCGAAGCGGCGAGCGCGAGCGCAGTGCGCAGCAAAGATAAGAAGGTGGTGAATGAGAGGGGTCAGTGGAATAATAAGATTGAGTTTATGCTGTCAGTGGCTGGAGAGATTATCGGCCTTGGCAACGTTTGGAGGTTCCCATATCTGTGTTACAAGAACGGCGGAGGTGAGAGATTATTCATTTATTCTCATTCCCTGACACACTTCACCTACTCCTGTCAAAGGCTGATGGAGTTGTTTTTCCCCCCTTCTTGACAGATGTGAACAGGCATCCTATTTATGCACCAGATATTTTGTTTTTCCTCCCATGCTTTTAGACTTGCTTCTAGGTTTTGATTGACAACACTTTGGGTCAACTTCTGTGGTGTTAAATTAACTATAAGTACACATGACAAAAACATGGTAATGTCATGGTACTTTTTGGTTGTTGATGGAATTGTTTTTTGAATGGGCAGCTGTGAAGCTGCAGATTACAAAAACATACAGAGGGCGCACAGCCATACAAAATATACTGTATATATATATATATATATATATATATATATATATATATCCTGGGTCGCATGAATTTTAGTTGTGGCCTTATGATATATTATTAAAGTCAGAAAAGGCAACTTCCAAAAGTGCAAGAGCAGTACAAGAGAATTTATTGAGAGACATTAGCACTAATAAAACCACACTATCTGGGAAACATCCAACAACTAATGGAACTTCTGAAATATTTATTGTCATATTTTTATTTGACACTCTTGTAGCGCAAAAAAAAAAACAGGTTTTATGAGTACTGGTCACACATCTATTATTTCTTTTGGTTAACTGGGTTAGGCTAGTTGGCTGTTAATCAATGCATGAATTCAATACATTTGCTTGAGAGGTATAACTTTATATGTCTCTTTTAGGTGCTTTTTTTGTGCCTTATGTTATCTTCTTCATCTGCTGTGGAATCCCAGTCTTCTTCCTGGAAACAGCGCTAGGTCAGTTCACTAGTGAAGGAGGCATCACATGTTGGCGAAAAGTCTGCCCGCTCTTTGAAGGTAAGGCTTAGGTCACTCTAGTTCATTTTAAAACCGTATTTTTTCCCCCACATGATTAAATTCCTGCTTGTTGAACTGAACATACATCAGCAGTGAATGAGAATAAAAGGGATGCAAATCTGCATGGTTTCATATCTTTAAGTATTGGTTATGTGTTCTCTTATAGGCATTGGCTATGCGACACAAGTCATCGAGGCCCACCTGAATGTTTATTATGTGGTTATATTAGCTTGGGCCATTTTCTACCTGTTCAATTGCTTTACAACAGAGCTGCCCTGGGCATCGTGTGGTCACTACTGGAACACGGGTTGGTTCATTTGAGGATTAAAGAAAGCATTGCCTAGAACTAAGTGAAACAATTTAATGCATGCATGAAAAACGGACAAAATGGGTGTAACAGAACTGTTTTAACTTTCCAGAGAACTGTGTGGATTTTAACAATGAAAGCATTGCCAACTTCACCAACCCATATGCCACATCTCCAGTCATGGAGTTTTGGGAGTGAGTATGATTCTGACTGTTTATTAGCATTACATATTGCACATATGTAGGAACATATCTTGGAACATCAGTATTTGGCAGCTGTTTAGGGCAAAGTCCTAAAGAGATCAGTCTATTAATTCACCCAGAAACTCTGGGATCACCAGCAATTCACAACAACAGCAACAATTAATATGCACAGTAGCGCACTGACTTTCCTAGCAACTTTTGGCACAGTTCATGTGCAGAGCAATCGACCACTGCTTATTATCCATGGAAATCCATAACCTTTTTCACTGATAATTTGTCATTCTTTTTGCATTGCTGTTGTACAAGCATCAAAAGGGCACTTGCACAGCTAGGAATGGTATGGACACAAATTTGGCCACAGTTGGCCTGTTTTTCCACACAGTTTCATATTCAAGGCCAAATACAGAGGAAGCAAGTCAAGTCCTAGCGGTCAGACAGTTCTCGCGTGTTGCTGGCCTCAGCCTCGCACACTGGGCATGCGGGCCTCTAGTACTGAGAGGCACAGACTCTGTCAGTTCTGAGGTTGAATGGTGAAGGTTTGTTCAAAGGGGGCATGGCTTAGGCAGTGGATGTCACCCAAGAACATGTCAAAGATGATAAATGACATTGCGAGAAAGAGAATTGTGGCTTTCCCTCACAATCTCACAATTTATTGCGTCACAACCAGTCAATGTTAAACAAAACTTCAGACCACCTTAAAGTTAGGATGAATAGTTGGCCATGTGGAGCTGACTCTCCTGGAAGTCAGAAGCGCTTGGAATTTTGATGGAATCAATGTAACCGTATCATTGTTTCACAGCCATTGTACACTGCGTGCATCATAAAGTGTCATGGGGTTCACATAATGTACTCAAATTTAGAGCTAAACTTGCAGAACATAATTGCCCACTTGACTTGCGTTCATGTGTTACACGACTGCTGGGAAGGTTATTCATTTCAGAATGTTTTCCCTTCTAGACGCCGTGTTCTCAGAATATCCTCTGGAATTGAAGAAGTTGGCAGCCTTCGCTGGGAACTTGCTATCTGTCTTGCTATAGCCTGGGTTATATGTTATTTCTGCATTTGGAAAGGCCCCAAATCAACTGGAAAGGTAAAAACAAAAGGTCCAGTGACCAGAAATGGTGGTGAATGTGTGTAGATGTTAACCAAAGAGTGAGAAGCCGAGTTGGAGATGTCTCAATGAGAGACTTGCATGAATGGGGGAACTTAGTGCCCTAATGTTCAGCACGAAGTCAATTTAGTGAGTGAGACGTGCATTCCATCCTTGCAAATGATGTCATCAGCGCAACTCTGACATGTGGAGCGCTCATACAGTATGCGGCATTGTGCAGCTACAATGTGGATCCAACGATTTGAAAGGGCTCAAATGCAAACACTGTCTGCATAAAGTCTTGAGTCTTTGAGGGGACAATAGCACTTTGAGACTTTAGACATAAGTTGAGTGAATACCGACTCGCATATCAGACAGACAGGCATCAGAAAGGCCATTGAACAGAATTTGGCAGCTTTCCAGAAAGTGAACGGATATGTAGGTGCATCCTCACAATAACCAAATGGTTTATTGGTAAACTCAAACCAACCTACTGGGAAAAAGTGCCTTTGGAAAACAAACAGTTTGCATTATTCCTGTGTCTGGAGTGCAAAATGCAGCTCTGGCCTTCCTCTACCTTCGCCTTGTACCCACAATCCATTGCATCCTCTGTCCCTCTGCCAATCTCTGCAACTCAGTCACTTGCCTTCCTCTGGATTCTATTCTTCCAGCAGCCTTTAAGAAAGTCTAACGGACTCAATGAGCCAGAAAGAAAGTGCAAAGAAAGGAAGCGGGATGTGTGGGGAAAAATAAATGGGTTCACATTGTACAGGTCCAGGAGAAAAGCTCTGCAGCAAGGCCTATATCTCCTGAAGTGTCTTTTGTTTGGCCGTGAAGCAAGGGGAAAGAATGCTCCTTCATGGCGAGGCTTTAGTAGCCTGTCCAAGATTGATTTCTGTATTCACAAGGGGAAAGTGGAGCGTTCATGAGGAGCATGCAGAGTTCCTCCGCTCGCCTCTTCCCTTCTGTAAAGAATTATGTCTGGCGGATAGCAAACTGCTTTCTTCCTTTCCTTTGACCGCTATACAGATTGCAGCATTCAGGACATTTGCTAAGCTGTTCACCGCAGGTCTTTTGTGGCTGTTTGCGATTCTCCCATAAGCCAGCGGTAGATTTATGGCATGGGGCTGACCTGTGAATGTTGAGCTTAAATGTTTGACCAGGGAGAGTTGGGAGAAAGTCAGTGTGTGTCAAAGTCTCACGGCGAGTTTAAACATTGCCCCATTCATTGAGAAAAACCACACGCATGCCTTTGAAAGCCTAGCAGGGGATTCGCTTATTGCAGTGGCCATAGTTTTTTGGATATGGATATGTAATCATTTTAGGAGACTAATTGAAAAAGCTGTGAATTAGCAAGCTGGACGGGCTTTGCCTTGCTCATACTGCGAGGTGCGTTTGGATTAAAGGATCTCCTTTGTCAAAGCGCTCACTCTTACAGATCTCCGCTTAACACGGTTGGTTTGTTTCACTCCACTGGATTACATGGTTAAGCAACATTAACAAAGGTGTGCAGTGATCTCACATCGCAGTTCAAAGCATTTTGGTACAAACGAGAGAGAGAATGATTGATTTAGCTAAAGAAGCAGTTTTAAAAGACTTCACTTCGAAGTGGCGACGCGTTTGTTAACCGACGCGAAGAACTGTTTGTTGTCATTTAGTACAGTAAATTACCCAGGTCAGGTTGAAACTGTCGGCAATTGTACGTTTGTGTGCCACACATTTTCCCACACTGCCAACACAACCCAGTTGGGCTCCTTCTAGAGGGAAACAGGGTAGAAGCTTTTGTGTCCGAACCCTATCTTGTTCTCGCATGGTCTTGACCGGGTGCCAGAGGAACAAGAACCTAGTGCCGCCCCCAAGGGTGGTTTTGTTCACGGGACTGAAAGAGCTTCAAAATGTTGAACTCATTTCTGTGGACCATGAATGGCTTTTGCAAAAGCATCTTAGGACCTGGAACTTGAATGTATAATGGAGAAGAATCATGCCGTGATGTTCTAACGCTGTCGGCGTGATTGCGCTGAGGTTTCGAGCCTCTATGTGTCTTGGGAGACAAAGCTCTTACACTGGTTTGGTTGAGACTTGGTAATAATTCAAGACTGTGAACATCATGTTGACAATTCACAACATGATGGTGGGCTGGCTATTCTATTTTTGTCTTTTTGATGTGCTGTGTTGCACGCTTGAGTGTTTTCTCCATCAAAACCTCTGGCTCGGACCTGCATCCCTTCCTCCCCCTGACAGTAACTCTTTCAATCAGCCCCCCAATTAAGGCTTTGGGAGAGTACCTGCCCCCTCTGGCAGACCCTCAGAGTACTCCGTAACCCCTTCACGTTAAGTGCGCTGCTTCATTCGCTCACTCATTCATTTGCTCCAGCCCTTTCTCTGAAAGGTATACTAGTTGCACAGCTAAACAGCTGATTTGCACATCATAGCCCATCACAATGGAGGGTAAAAAAATAATTTGTTCGGTCTTCAGATCGCGGACAGTTCATCCTATTAACTTAATTTTAAAGCAATGGTTCAAAACTTAAGATTCCGGGGATGCACAATACACATGGTTTCAAAGCAGCTTTACAGAAAGTCATACTGTTACTGTTATATCTGTAGTGCCTTAGTGCTTTACCACAGAGAAGGTTTTAGAGCTGGTGATATATAACAATGATACAAATTATCCTCCAAATTTAGATCTAGCTATATTGTTTTTATTTTGTGTAGCAATTATATGCATGCCACGGTGTGAGCATGTGCTTGAGCATTTGAATTTAATATTAATATAAAGTTGTGATGAAATAGAAGTAGTTTCTGTCGTTTTAACCAGATCTTGATTAAACATTACGAGGGCCCCTGTATTTGTATCTAATTTGCTAATTTGTACCACATACAGTAAGCTACCATATTCAGGGAAAAAAAAGCGTAGAGTCATAAAGAGTACTATAACGGTTCTTAATGGTGTTTCTGGTTATTTTATTTAGTTTTATTTTTTTGCAGCTTGACAGATGCATTCACTATAAACTGTTATATGGAAAGGAGCTGCAAATTTCAAATTTTGATAATTCTTCAAAATTAATTTTCTATCCTACATTTAAAAAACGTCATAGAGGTTTAAAAAGATACGAAAGAATAAATAATAAAGATTTTTAGTTTAACCGTTCCTTTTACTTTTATTTTTCTTGGTGTAAATGTACAGCGATTTCTTGCACCAATTGGTTTGGATAGATCCAGATTTGATCTAAATGTTTATATGCAGGAGAATGTGAGCATGTAGCTGCAACTACTTTAACCTTTATTCATTTCCATGGAAACTAAGCCTTGTTTTTCCCTCTGCAGGTGGTGTATGTCACTGCAACCTTTCCTTATTTCATGCTGTTGATCCTTCTTCTTCGAGGAATAACGCTGCCAGGAGCTGCTAATGGAATTAAGTTCTACCTGTATCCTGACATCTCTCGTCTGTCAGACCCTCAGGTACGAACAATTTTATCCAGTGTCACTGTACTTCTTAAGGATTTAACACCCAGCTGTTCTTTTATAGCTACAGTAAATCAACTGTATGTACAGTATTTTTTGTGACTTTGGAGCCCCCTACAGTTAAGTGAGTGGAATTTGCTGTCGTAAATATACTACTGTTATATTAAAGTAGCTGTACACGTGCATTTGTTTCTGACATAAAGTAATATGCACTTTTCACGGAATTTCGTACTCGCTCATTAAACTTACACACTCCCAGAACTACGACGGCGTATTAGTGCCACGTTAAAACATTTAAAAATCTAAGATTACGAGATTAAAGTCGTAATATTTCGAGAATAAAGTCGAAATTACGAGAATAAAGTCGAAATACTATGAGAATAAAGTCGAAATATTACGAGAATAAAGTAAAAATGTTTCGTGAATAAAGTCGAAATGTTTCGATAATTTAAATCGTAGAAATTAAAGTTAGAATATTTTGAGAGTATAGCCTATATTGCGCATGCAAATGGCCCGGATTGAGAGCACCAGGAGAAGTTGCCAGGCCACTGGAATTTATCTAAATATTGTTGCATCCAAGCGGCTGCATCATCTTACTGGGATGAGGAAGAGCCCATTTTAAGGACTCGCGGAAACAGCTTAATATCAAGAATATGATATTTATTAACAGACTGAACAGGAACAACTTTTTATCTTAACATCAGCTCACACACCCAATCGACATTGCTTTGGGGGGTGCTGTAGCTCTCTTATTTAACCCTTTTTTAATACACTACAAATAAATGTGGGATTATTAGTAGAAATCATACCATGTGTCATACACGTCAGGACAGTATGCTTGGAAATAATATTTCATGTCTTCCATTGCATTCGTGCCTATATTGCGCATGCAAATGGCCCGGATTGAGAGCACCAGGAGAAGTTGCCAGGCCACTGGAATTTATCTAAATATTGTTGCATCCAAGCGGCTGCATCATCTTACTGGGATGAGGAAGAGCCCATTTTAAGGACTCGCGGAAACAGCTTAATATCAAGAATATGATATTTATTAACAGACTGAACAGGAACAACTTTTTATCTTAACATCAGCTCACACACCCAATCGACATTGCTTTGGGGGGCGCTGTAGCTCTCTTATTTAACCCTTTTTTAATACACTACAAATAAATGTGGGATTATTAGTAGAAATCATACCATGTGTCATACACGTCAGGACAGTATGCTTGGAAATAATATTTCATGTCTTCCATTGCATTCGTTATTTGTAGTGTGCCAGCCACCCAATAGCAATAAGCTTTGTGCTTTTGTTACTTTTAATAGCCTATAAAACAAAGTCTCAGCTTTCAAAATCAGTTTTATAGCGAAACACAAACTATGTGTTTAACTAAGTGGACTCCAACTCGTTAACATAAGTTATATTGTTGTCTTTTCTGAGGTAGGCTGTATAACGTTAAGTGACTATTCACAAGCTGTTTTATTCATGGTATAATACTAGAGTAAATGATTGGACATAATATTTAACGTCTTTCATTCATTATTTGTAGTGTGCCAGTCACCCAGTAATCGCAATAATTTTGTGCTTTGTTGCTTTTAATATAACACAGAAATTCTGTCAGTTTTATCATGAAATACAAATGATAAAGGTGTTTTTCTTCTTTATTTCAAGTTTATAGCAAGATATAAAAGTGAAGGAACATCAGAAGGCATGAAAAAATAGTATAATGAAAATAAAGTCTCATTATTGTAATCAGAAAGATGATTGACTCACATGCTGCTTAAACTGAAGCAAATACAGCGATCTTTCACGGCAAATTAAAGAGTGTGAAAAAAACACATTATTGTAATATACCTATTGTTTGTATTTCGCTATACAACTGACATATTTTGAAAGCTGAGATTTTGGAATATCTCCCGGTGCTCCCAATCTGGGCCATTTGCATGACCAAACTTCATTTCTCAAACTGCTTTTCATTTTGCTGCATTAGAGCTAATAAACAACTACATTAAAAATACAATTATTGGCTAAAATCACTTGAATGCACATTGCATCAAAAATAGCATAAGCTCGAGCTCGATTTGCAAGTGGAGATCTGTTATTCAGAATAAATAAATACCTAAATTAATTTAAGATTTGATCTCCTGAGTGAATATCTGAAGTTGTTAGACTGAGAAAATGCTTGCTGCTTTTTAAACTCAAGACTTGACTAACCGACTTATTAAGCTGTCATGTAGATGCAGTTTTACATAGACCAAACTTACAAAGAAATCAAAGATAACCACAACATCTGCAACTTAAACCTTCTAAAGGCCACAAACTTGTTATCATGGAAAATGTAAAAATAAATAATTACTCAAAACTAAACAAGTGTTCTCCACCTAAAAGGGATTTAGAATAACATAAAAAAAAGTTTGTTTTCCAAATGGAAAACAAGGAAGCAGTGCCAAGTCATCCAGGAAGCAGGGAGCTCTCAGGTCATTTGGTGGGATTACAGGATGTCCACACATGGCTAAACCTCAGATGTGGAGATCAGTGTGTCATGCTCCACAGCTCCATCATCCCAGTGAACAGAAAGCAGGACTGATGGAATGTATGTGAAGTAGCATCGATAGCCTGTGAGAGCGAGCGACATAAAGGAAATGCGAGAAAGAGAAAGGGTGATAAAGGGTGGTGTTTGGCGATGGGGGCGCCTCCGACACCAATGTTTAATTAGCTTTCATGCCACACAATAAGAGGTCTGTTCACATTCTCTATTCACCATCTTCCTTTAAAATCTCACCACGCAATTCAGTTTTCTGTGCCAGAGAGTTTCCTTTGCTGTTTAAAACTGCATGTTCGTAGAACGGAAAACTATAAAAGTATGTCCGATTTGGACAAAATCAACTTTTAGTGTTTGGAGTTTTCTGTGGTAATGTGGAGGAATTCATGAAATGTAGTCATCAGAAACATATAGCATCATTTTTAAGACTTCTTTTTTTTTTTTTTTTGCTGTAAGCTATATTACAAGATTGTTTTCTAACATTCTACAATTACAATTATGTATTATGTAGTGAAGTTAACTGCAAGAAAATGTGAGCTTCAAATCTCACATTTTATATTTGACATCACGTTACAATCGAGCACTGTACCAAAAGTGTTTAAAACAACCATTGAAACCACTGAAACCATTGAAACTTCAAAAAATCAAACATTGAAGTTTACTAATATTGCCATGAACTTCATAGACCCAACAGTATGTAAGATTGCACTCAGCATGACCATTTTGGCATCTGAGTGATTTGGCTTGTTTCTAAGTGAGAGATGGATTTGCTCCAAAATGCCATAGTGTTGGACGCACAGCCTTTGACATCAAAAAAAAAAAAAAAAAGGAAAGCATTTTTCCTTTTTTTATATTCATTAACTAATAACTATGATTAAGTGGTTAGCTGTATTCTATGAATTGCATTTCGCATTGAATTTTCCCTCACTGACAACAGTGTAGTGTTAGAAACGCATTGAACAACATGTTTTTGGATGATTTTGAAATCATAAACACACATTTTAACTGACGACCAGAGACGAGTTTGCAATGAAAATGTTTCTTTAGGATGCTCTTCCTGGCTAAAACAAGACAAAACAAACCTCCAAATTAGCCACAACATCAATAAGCAGCTTTTAAAGAATAGCGCCGTGTCCGAGTAAAGCCAAACCAGAGCATTTGCACCGGCCGAATGTTAAACAGAAAAGACGTAAATGACCGTCCCCATAGAATGGATGTTCTTGGAGGGAAGTTGCTCTGTGTTTGTGAGGTCAGAGGGGTTACCCTGGTTACCCACTGGAGGAAGCAAATACTGTGAGTTGTCAATTGTTTTCCCAGTAAAGGAGATTAGTGGCTCAATGGTTATGTGAGAGCATTTTAAAGAGGTGCTGGCTTCTTTTCCACCTACTCACATGGATCCCCTATGGCCACATTTTTACACATAGCCTCTATGGAGTAGAATGACTCTATTCAGAGCGTTCAAGCTCTTCGAGATCATTTTAGCCAGTTGCAGGTGAGAGAATCTTTCATCAGGATCAGTTTTCCAAGAAAGTGGTTGTTCTCAAATGTTAATAGCTGGGTTTCCATCCAAAGTGAATTTAACTTGTGCTCAAAATTAGAATTTCGCATAAAACATTTGCGAATAAGCACCATTTCCATTCGACGAACGAGAACAAAATCATCACTTCCTGATGAACTGGCACTAAATATCACAAATAAAAGTGGGAGAAGCCACTGAATATAATAATTTTCATATATAGTAAATGACTTGTTCCTCAGAGCGATCTGAATTGCTTTTGTGGATGCTTGCTGTACGGGAACGCAGTTGTGTAACAGTTCTGGAAGGCAGTTATACAGAAATACTTTGACGACAGACTTTGCTCTGGCATTTCAGAATGACCATAACAACATTTTAGATGCCGTGCAACAAGATTGGTTCACTGGTTAGTCAAGTTATGCCATCCCATTGCGCAAAGTCACATGACTTTTATGATAGAAATGGAGGAATTTATTAGGCAAATGCGTTTCCATCTCCCATTATTCGCATTAACCCTTTTTTTGCACAAGACAAAAACCACCTCAAGCGATCGTAAAAACTTTTTTGCGAATAAAGGGATTTTTTTTTCAATTGGCATTTCCATCATTCGTTTCTGATGCGATACTTCAAAATGTGCATTAAAACAGGGTGATGGAAACATATCTAATAACTGCTGTGTGCATTGATGTAGACGGGAACGTGAAGCTTCCTGTTGCCCATGTAAACCAAAACTAAATGTCCTAAATCTAACTTTGGTTTTATGCTGTTCCAGAGATAGCATTACAATGCTTATTTCTGTTTTAAAGGAAGAGTTCACCCAAAACAGATTAATGACTGCTGCAATCAAATTTTACCTCCGATGAAATTCTGGCAGTGTCAGAAGATTTGGCGCAAAGTCCTGCAGTGTGAATTCTCCTACGACAAATGTCAAATTGTCTTCGTTTTTCAAGACAAGCCATGATCAGAATTAATGCTAGATTTCTTCTAATCTCCATAAGCTCCCGGCCACCGCTCATGGAATTCCTACATGCAGCCTTTGCTATGATAAACACCGGTTGTGCCGCTGCTTTTATGTGGGCGTGTGCTGCTTAAACTGCTTACATCTAGAGACTTTTCATGATAGCCAACATTTCAGTGCCGCGTGTAATGCAGCTTGTAGTCACTGAACATGTATGGGTTGATAATGTAAAACTCCAGACAAGTTTTCTTGCGTGCACCTGTTTTTAACATGTCTTGATTGTCCTAGCGTCTGATATTAATGTAATGACTCCTGATTCTGTAGTGATTCACTGCCATTATATGGATAAATACAAGCAAGATTTCTTTTTTTTTTTCAAGAGTGATTGTTTCTTTTGTCTTTCAATAAAGAAAGAAGATCATGGAACTTTAGAATGGCATGTACTGTAATAACGTCTCTGCTCCAGTTGAAAGGGTTAAAATTAAAAATACAAAAAGTACAATTATGGGTGGTAAGTGTCAGAAAGAACTGAGAATTGATGATTAATGAACTGACAATTAATATTTGACCACATCTTCCCACTCAGAATAAATGACAACTAGAGCACGTGTCTTACAGTCGCATGGCAGCACCAGTATAATGAATGACAGCAGTTATGGTTGGGTTATTAATTAGTGATTGTTGCAGGTGTGGGTGGATGCAGGCACTCAGATCTTCTTCTCATATGCTATATGTCTGGGCTGTCTTACGGCCCTCGGAAGCTACAACAGCTACAACAACAACTGCTACAGGTGAGAGTCCAGTCAAGTGATAACAAGTGGCTATACAACCTCCTGGAACTTTTACTGTGTTTATCTTGTACAACATATAACTAGTTTAGTCAACAGAAAATGTTCTTTCATGTCGAAGTGAAATACATTTATTCAGGTACTATTATAAGCATTCTTCCTTTTCAAGTGTGTATTTAGCAGAAGCACCATTGGCAGCATGGTTTGCACCTTTGCATCTCTCAGCTTTGCTCTCTCCACTCTCTGCAAAACTGCTCAAACCCAGTTCATATGGAGATTGTGAGTGGACAAACGTTTACTTGTCCACCCATAATCTGGACAGAGATCATTGATTTTGCTCTCATCAGACCATAGAAACCTTCCCACATGTCCTCTAGCATGTTGTTGCTGAGATATGACATATTTAATGTTGGCTTCATTTTGCCACTTTCTCATAAAGCTGGCAACTGTCTCTCCAGTCTCTGCCACCAACTCCTTCATTGGTTTTCTGGTGGTTTCCCTTGCCAGTGTCTTTCAATTATTCATTTTTTTTCCTCCATCCTCTGTCTTTTTTGTGTTCTGTTTTTTTTTCATGGTGCAAGTGACAGAAGACTGACTTACCAGATGGTGGACATTCTATTTTCCAGAGATGTGTTTATATAACAATTAATACAAAAATATATGTAATATACAGATTTTTTTTTGGTATATTACAAAAAAATATTAAGGCTATTTATTACCCTGATATATATTAAGGATGAATACTTATGGAATCAAATATTTAGATTTTTTTCTTTTACTTTTATTATTATTTTAGATCACTTTGACATAAAAAGTATTTTTCTGTTGATCAATGGCAAAAAATGAAGTCCACTGTGATTCAGTGCTGAAAGTCAAAAGAGGGGTGAACACATATGTATTGGTGAAGTGAATGCGAAGTGCTGTGCGTTGTCTTTACAGGGACTGCATCATACTGTGCTGCCTGAACAGTGGCACGAGTTTTGTGGCAGGATTTGCCATCTTCTCTGTCTTGGGCTTCATGGCATATGAACAGAATGTGCCAATAGAGGCAGTGGCAGAGTCAGGTGAGTGTGAATTGTGCTATATCTGTTGAAACCTTTCTTTGGGAACAGTTTATAAATTTGCAAATTGGGTCACTCTATAGTAATTCTAATTACTTTAGCTAATTTCTATAGAAAAGTAATATGTGTGCGTGAGAGTGAGTTTTTTATTTGAGATACAGTAGCCTACAGTGAGATGTCTGAGACTCTGTGTCTGGACTCATGCAATTTAAAGCACTTCTCAGAAAAGCTTTTTATTGTATGACTTATTCAACAATTCAGCATTACTTATTTACTACAGTAGAGCAAGGATAAGTGTAAAAGTGACTGAAATACACTTTGAAGGGTTTTAGACTTTATTATTAAGTTAAAGATGTCTGAGAATTCAGTTGCTTAGAGCATTGGTTCTCAAACCTGTTCCTGTACAATGTAGAAAAACAATATAGGAAAACAAATGGTCAGTCACTACGCTTTCAATAAGTCAAGTCAAGTCACCTTTATTTATATAGCGCTTTTAACAATACAGATTGTGTCAAAGCAACTGTACAGCATTAATTAGGAAAATAGTGTGTTAATAATGCAAAGTGACAATAGTAAACACAAATTTTTCAGTTAAAGGCAGTTCATCATTGAATTCAGTGATGTCATCACATGAATAAGTGATCCATAAACATTATTTAAAGAGCTTTTACTAAAGCTCCACTCTTGGCATTTTTCTGCTGCCATTATTATCTGATGAACAGTAGTTCTAAACTGATATTCTAGTATATTGCTCTAGTGATATGGCAGAGTGATCTCTGCTCTTGGCTTGCTGCTTTTGGACAGGTGTCTCTGTACAGTAAAACCAGAGCCAAGCCACATGGCGTGGTTAGACTATTTCACCAGGACCGTCACTGAGACTGTTGAATTTGCCAATCTAATGCATGCTCTCATAGAACCCAACCAGGGGTGTGTTTCCCAAAAGCAACCATGGTTGCATGTTCCGTCATTACAAGTAGTTCAATGGAACTTGCGGCCATAGTTAGTTAATGATGCTTTTGGAAAACAAACTCCAGAACACAAGGCCATAACCATGTCTCGAACATTGCGGGGGACCAATAAATATACATACATTCATATATAATATGTATCTGTATGCCTATTTTTTGTCCTGTCACGTTCAGTTAGTTGAATCACTTTTGAATCACAGTTAGTTTGCATGCCTGGATAGTGTTGGTCGTTCTATAGTAAACCAGTAGTCGAATATGAAATGTTGCACTAGTTCCCTCTTACTTCACTCTCGTTCAGTGCTTTGGGCTGGAATTCGCTCACTGCTTCTGTGAACAGTAAGCCCCACCTACTATTATTTGATTGATTTCAGGTCCTGGTCTAGCGTTCATAGCGTATCCTAAAGCTGTGACCATGATGCCGTGGTCTCCATTGTGGGCCTGCCTGTTCTTCATGATGCTCATCTTCCTTGGGCTTGACAGTCAGGTGACAAATGCACACATTTTGTAAACAATTTCTTAAAATTAATAATTCAACCAAGAATATGCCATTATCTACTCAGCCTGTTGTGTCACACATGTACACTAATGTTTCTGTCAAATACAAACACACACAAAACGTTTTGGGGTTATATTTTCCTTTAATATTTACAGCATTTTATATCTAAATAAAATAAAATATCTAGTAAAAGTACAGATATCTTACCAGAAAATGACTTTGGTAGAAGTTGAAGTCACCTTTAGAATATTACTTGAGTAAAAGTCTTAAAGTATGTGATATTTATTGTACTTAAATACGAAAAGTATTTTTTTTTTAAATCTTAAACGTACTTAAGTATTGAAAGTAAAAGTACAAGTAAATGCAACATGGAAAAGAAGCAAATACATTTATATAAAAAAAAGTTCATAAACAGCTTGAGTAGCAAGATTGTGTTCAGTTTTAACTCTTTCTTCCATTTTGTATTTTTGGGTAAGAATAAGAAGCACTTCATCCGGTACATAGTGTCTTTCATTCCAGCACACAAAAACATTTCTGGAATCTGCATCTGAAATAGCATTTAAATGTATTTACACAGTTTAATGTAGTTCAGAGGGGACATGGATGCATTTAACCTGCAGTTACAGATCGATAAATAATGTTTTGTTTTTAACATAAAACGTTGAATACTGAACTTTGAAATGATTACAAACATGAAAAAATAGTCTAAATGGGAAATTAAAACTGCCAGTAGGTGACAGCAAGTGACTGTTAATGAGTCAGTGAGCTTCAACAGATTCGTTCAAACGGCTGATTTATTCAGGAACAAAGCATTTGACTGTGTTAATGAGTGAATCACTGAATCATTTATTTAACAGATTCGTTAAAACGGCTGATTTATTTAGGAACAAAGTATTTGACTGTGTTAATGAGTAAATCACTGATTCGTTTATTCAACAGATTCGTTCAAAAATCTGATTCATTCAATAAGTAAACACTGTCCTTTACTCAGAGAGAGACGCAAAACAGTGCTGTGATCTTTGAAACTATTTTCGTTGACAAAATTGAGCAAACACTAGCAATATTATGTCTAATGTAAGTCACTTATTGCTAACTTTACTGAACTTGTATAAAATGATTATTAAATTTATGCTGATATCTGCAGAAAAACTGTACTCTTTGTGTGATATATTGTTAACTATATTAAATTATATAAATATAAAAAGCATACAGAATAATTTTTGCCGTCTACAGTTTAGAATGCCTTGAATTTTGAGTTTTAATAGACTAATAAATCACGTGCCTGCACTCTGTGTGATTTGGTGATATACTTGATAATGTCAGATCGCACATCATTACAACAACACTTACCATAATATCACAGATATACTGTATATCGTAGACCCCAGACTCGACTTGAGTGGAAAATGAAATCACCCGCGGTTGTGCGTGTACTTGTTTGCAGATGAGCAAAGGTGTTTTTTAGGAGTCTAACTTGCAAATGCCAGACCACTGATTCGTCAAACCTGCTTTCCTGCAGTC